ATAAATAAATTTTATATTACAATTTATTTTAACAAAAATAATTTACAATAAGCGGCGCTGAGCCGCTGAAGACCTACGGTATACTACATGGTTGGTTGACTGGTCACTGGTTTGATCGCATTTCGGTGATTGGTTAATGCCCGTGACGTCACTGAGATCAGTGACGTCACAGGCGAACAACGAACTACATCCGCAAAAATGGGCTTTTGATGGATCAACCTTATACTAGTTCAAACATTACCTATAGTCCTATACTATAGTCTATAGGCATCTAAATCAGTCTGCTAAATCCAAGGAAGTCCAATATCAGTCAGTGCGGCAGTAAAAAGCTGCTCACAGCTACGCAAATCTGCTACATGTTATCAGAAGGTGAGAAAAAATGCCATACAGTATTCTGCATTTCTTGGCGGTACTGACTAAAACCCGGACCCGGACCGGTCCGCTGGACCCGGACCAAGTGAATAAAACCCGGACCCGGACCCATGTATTCGGGTCACAAAAAGGGTCGCATGCCGAAGACCACCATTGCCCTGGACTGGATGTAATGGACCATCATGATTCCTGCCTTTCGGAACGTAGCCTTCAATACTTCAAGCCGTCCGTATCTAGGACGTGGGTCAACCGTCGTACCAGCCCTCGGTCGGGGAATGCAGCCGTGGGTAACACAATTGACTCGTAAAGAGTCGTAATTTCGTAACAGGCCCAACGCCAACCATCAGGCTCAGCAAATCAAAGGTGGAATTCTAGGGATGGGGGGTCTAAAATCTAAATGACCCCCAACTTCACCCCAAGTCATGCCCAAGGCCAAGAGACCTCTAGCAGTCTAGCTATCCACCCCTTGATCGCACGGCCACTTGTTAAAGGACAATAAATTTTGGAACAGAACTATGCTATCTGAAACCTAACCTAAGATTCGGTGAACATAAAATTACGTAATTTAACAATGCCCGGGAGTCAGATTCAATCCGTGCTATTCCGTGGCCTGGTGGTGCACGGCAGCCAGTCGGCAGGTTCTATGCAAGGCCGGAGGAAGAGAAGTCAAAGCCGAGAGATTCACGGCTGAATGCTGATTGGTGGATGTCCGGAGGGTGGAGGCCGGACTCCGGAGAGATCCAAGGCATTCAATTCAGGACTTATTGCCAGTTATTGGTGCACAAAATTGGTGGTGCACGCCTCTGCACGGCTGCGCTCTAAAAAAAGTGCATTTTTCGATCAAACTAATCTACAGAGAATGTTCTGAAACGTCCAGAAAATATTAAACATTTCAATCAATTTTTTGTCAATTTACTTGGAAAGATTTCATGTAAGGTCTAGGGAGCCCCGCAGGCGGACCGAGTGCCCCGGAGGGCCCGGATCCAGACCCATGTGTCTGGGTCATAAAAAAGTGCATTTTTGGGGTTACCTGCCAAAGACAACAACTGCCGGCGATGTCGGAATATACCGCGTTTACCCTATGAATTCCCGCGCACCTGGCACATCTTCCTGACCAATGACCATGGCATGTCATCAATTCATTTGTCATGATGAGTCATGTACCTCAACCTCTGCACTAGGTAGGACAGTGTCATTGAGGCTGAGAGGCGGCATTTGAGACCAGGTCGGTATTGCACTTGCAGAGAGATTAGGCTTAGAGAGTGAGGCAGATTGAGAGTTGGTGTCGGAGCAGTCAGATGATACTGAACTAACTGAAGCAGTATCCCCTTGTTCCTTTTTCCTGCGTTTGGGCATTTTATCCGTTTCTTGTGTAATTTGACGGATTCAACTATTAATGCAATGAAAAATTTCAACTATCAATGCAATAATCTCAATTAACTATTCGTCGTCAGACGTCGATAAATGGGCAGAAAAACTTACACACGTCCGTTGTCGTCCGTAGCTCTAACAGCACTCATTTGGTATCTTGTTTTTGATGGTGACAATAGCGGTCCGGGTCCGCTGTAACAGAAAATGGTAAAATAATAACTGAACCAGCAAATTACAATAGAATATTTTTTCAAACGCTGGAAATTGATTGTGAAATATTTGCATACCCCAAACACAAGGATTGAAAATTTTGCTTAACTTCGCATACATTTTCGCATACAGGCCCCACACGACAACATTTCTTCTCGCTTCGGGTTACTGACATGTGGAAAAGCCTCCCTGAAGATATTGTTGACGCTCCGAGTATGAACGCGTTCAAGAACAGACTAGACAAGGCCATGCAAGAGCATATGTTTAGTCTTAAAATGCCTCGTACCCTACGGAACAACTGATATCTAGAATCGATTTTAAATCTACCGTCCGTTGAAAAGATCATCAAAAGGCCAGTCTAGTCAAGAAAAGCACAAGAATCGGCGACAGGCCTATTCTTTAATGCCGAAGATACTATACTATACTATACTATTTTGCTTCACGCTTGGAATACGTCAATACGTTCATATGGATGTCGTTTGTACGTATATATGTAAATGCTATGGGGCCTAACATTGAAAGTTTTGAATGAACGAAACTGCGATTGGATTCAAATTCATACTTTTGATATCATTCCTATCACACGAAAAACGTTCTGCCCGTCATGTTATTTAAATAATTTTACTGCGATGAAATGGACATTATTGAGTTTTATGATTTATACTAAACCTATTTCTATTATTTTTTTATTGTATAACGCTTGAAAGAATGTTCTGAATGCCATTCAACTGAGTATAGCGCATTAAAATATAAAAATCTTAAATAGCAAGGAAAATGAAGCCACCCAAACACTAGAGACAATTAACATTTATTTCGATGAAATGTAGAATACTTACATAAAAAATTTTCTTGACATAGAATTATGATACATATCTTACAAAGAGCATCAGTTCACAACATGAGGCAATGATTAAACATTCAAATCAACTATTATGAATCATCCGAAAAGTACGCCGTAGCTCACAAGGTAGGAGAGCAACGTAAGAATTATATCAAAAATAAAGGTAAAGACATAAGTTCTCAATGTTTACCACTCACGAAAGCAAATCTGCAGGTGAATTTCAACATAATTATGCGCTAATTAAGTCAGTAATCGATAAATTTCTTCAAGTATTTATTTCTTCAAAAATTTAGGAAATGATTTTTTCCATGATAAAATTTAGTTTTTCCCAAAGTTACTTACAAGGAAAATATGAAAATCATAGGTCATGTAAGGTAACAATATTTATACCATTTGTCCCTGGATATTTCCTCATTAATATCTTCCTTGTTGAAAGATAATCTCCTTCACTTCGATATGTTCATAAACATTTCCTTGTGTTTGCCTTTCCTGTTTATTAAGTCACGCCCTAGGTGACGTCAAATAGCGAAGCTATAAATAAAGCTCTGTCTCAAGCGATTAACTTCAGTCTTGGGCGAGGACCGCTACGGTATAACCCATTGCTCCTGTCCATGTCAAACAGGACAGTAACGCTAGCTCAACGTCTCAGTGGAGAACGCTCCGCGGATACACTCTAGACTTATTCATTTATTTACTTCAACTGGACGCCGAAGACATCATTGTTAAAGCTCCAACTTATAAACTTAGATTATCCTAGACTGTAAGCCGAACTATAATCCTACAAGTATATTATATAATCGTTTACGCTGTTCCTCTATATCCTCGGATCCCGCTACAGAAGAACCACCCTCAGGTCATACTTAATTACCATTCATATAACAGTTGCATAGAAAAGCAACATGTTACAGTGGCGCTACCGACCAGTTAGCAAAGTGATTATCGAGTGATTATCGATCAGTGACTACGCAGAATCCTGTGTAGAGGAAGTTTCCGATGCTTTAAAGCTCTACATCATCTACTACTTCTACAATTTGAGCATCGGACTTCGACACGGTCTACGAGAGAATTCAGCGACGAAAAATACCACGGCTACAGAATCTATACAAGACCCAGCATATACTTCAGCGCAGCTAAGTAATAACTTGCACGGGCTATATTGGATAATCACGGCGCAACGTTTTCAGTGCATCAATGGCCGGCGATAATCGACCTTATGATATGCACAAAGATCGGCACTATGCATCATGACGCACCCTCGACGTGATTCGTGCAAGGGAGACGTCCAAACAGAAGATGGGGAGGCGAGAGACACCGTTTGCTGCCGTCTGGAGCATCGACCTTTCAGCCCGAAAAATGAAGAAAAAGCGCCAGCAGAATACCACGTGCCCGTACCACGCGGTTACTGCGCATCTATCTCCACGTGCCACACGAATCTCCGCGGAAACTACGCGTGTGCACTTCAGCAAGCGTTGGGAACTTCCTCCAGCAACCAAGCTGAGTATTTTATCCCATATAAATGAGCCTGTTAAATTTATGTATTCTAAACATGTGCATATTGACCTTTGTCGGAACGACGCCAATGGCGACACTATCTATTTTATCCTTCCGCACCTAGCAGGTAGTACATCGTATAACAAACTTTATTAATGTTATTTTAAGCATGTTTTAATACAAAGTGTATTGCCACATAATCTGTGCAACCACACCGTGCTTGCTTTCTTTCAAAATTCAAATGTCGACGCAACGCTTGACTGGATTAGATGTAGTCTTTCGTGGCAAAGTACAGTGCACGTTCTTTCGCTACCAGAAGTACAGTGCACGTTCTTTCGCTACCAGAAGTACAGTGCACGTTCTTTCGCTACTACTTCACTATTCTTGTATTCGACTCTTCACCTCCAACAGTTTCTTAGGTTCTGTGAAACGAAGAACATCGTCTCCCACCTTCTGCACAATGACCCGCCAATCTCACGATACGAAAGACGCACCTGAAAATCGCGACTTTGGAGATATCCATGACTCGTCAGATCAGCATGACAACGGCCCTCTACCCGAGTCTATTGATAATAATTCTCGAAGAGACACCGGTAGTGATAGAAGAGAATCTACAGATAGACGAAGTTTTGAGCGGCGTGACACTATGGACGAGTTCGGAAGTCGAAACGAAAATCACCGAGTTCCTCCTTACTCAAGCCAGAGACAATACTCAAGGCCCCATGATTCTTTACACAAAGCGCACGATCCTATGAAAGCTCTTGACCCAGAGCAACTTAAGAAGTTCTTGGAACGCAATGCTTTACTAAATCCAATGGGCAGAAATGCAGCTAGCGATGCAAGATGCGATCCCACTTTTATGCTAGGGCAACATGGCGCACTAGGAGGGCCCAATATGAATCATTCTTCTAGTTTATCCGCGGCATCGATAGCCTCTAATATCCAGGCTGCTAATCCTAACCTTACTTCTTCTCTTCTCAGAGGCGGTCCTCAATTAGCGAATTCTTTGTCTTTTCTTCGTCTTGCAACACCGCTTCCAAATATGAGCCGACCTAATCAGATGCCTTCTTCAATGGTCAATGCCTCCCCTCTGACATCTCCCTTGGCTCTACTCGAAACTATGCAACCGTTTGATATTCGAGGCGATAGGAGAAGTCCCAGTCCATGGCACCTGCCCGAAGTATCCAAGCGCCATCTGGCGTCGCCTTCCAGCATCACCAGCACCGGTTCGATGCAGGGCCAACCTAGCCCTCCAGTTCCTAATTCTTCGTATGCGTCGTCACAGATGTCCTCGCGAAACGATATATCAGTCGAGCATTTTAGTGACGATGATGATGACGAAAAATCATTAGCTTTAAATCTTTCTACTACTTCTCCCGGTTCTACTCCAGCGTCTACGTCTCTGCCATTACCTGCCCAAAATAGCTGCAACGGTCCTCCTACTCCTAAGCGGTCATGGAATTCCATGAATATGGGCTCTACTTTCATTAATCCTGTGACAGGCAAGAAGAGAGTGCAGTGCAACGTTTGTATGAAAACATACTGCGATAATGGTGCTATGAAGATCCACTTTTCTGCTGTTCATCTTCGAGAAATGCATCAGTGTACTGTCGGCGGATGTAACATGATGTTTAGTACTTGAAGATCTCGCAATCGTCATTCAGCTAATCCAAATCCAAAATTACACACCCCGCAAGTTAGGAGAAAAATTTCTCCTCACGACGGCAGGAGTTCGGGCTCTCACCCAGCAATATCGCTGAGATCCCCCATGCCAGCACAGCTGCAAGATCTACATCCCCAAGCCGCGTTCCCTCCACTGTCCACGTTTCCCGGCCAGTTTGGGGGCCTAGACGCTCTACCGAACCTTCCGTTCTTACCTTCAGGAAATCCTCAGGAGCTCGCAAAGCAGTTCGAGATGCACCATCATGGCTTTGATCTGCAAAAGGAAGCTTGGAAGTATGGACAAATGTCTTCTTATCCAGACGATTCATCTATGATGATGGATCCGAAAAATCATTTTGATCACGCCGAGAAGAAACGAGCATCTCCTACATCATTAATGTTTATATATACATCCTCATATTGTTAGGGACGCTCGCCGCTTCCATCAGATCTTAAAATGTAAAAGTTTAATAGATACAGATTTGTATGAATAATGCCATTCAATATTGTTAGCTACATTAAATTGAGGGTGGAACATGGGAATGGCAATGATTCATTTATCAGAAGCAACCTTTACAAAATTAGTGTCAAACAAGCAAACGGATGTCATGTCAACCGGAACTCGAACACCACAGCAGAGAGTATTTTATGCAGCTAATGAATTTCGCAAACTTTGCTGGAAGAGAGATTATTGAATTTTAGAAAAAAGGCGGGATAATTCAATGGAGGGTGGTGGCAGAACTGCAATCTTAACATAACATAACATAGTGATCTCGGCGCTGAAGTGTAGGCCTGATGTGGCCTGTCGCCGATTCTTTTTCTTTTCGTGCCTTGTTCACAGAAGATCTAAAATCGTGTCATTTGACCGGATCTTTTCATGACTGACGATAGTTTGAAGTAGCTGATAGACTTCCACCGAGTTCGATAAGGTGCTAGGCATTTCAAATCGGAACATATATTTTTCCATAGCTTTATCTAGTCTGTTCTTGAACGCATTCATACTTGGAGCGCCAACGATGTCATCAGGGAGGCTGTTCCACATGTCGGTGATTCGAAGCAAGAATAAATTTTGTCGCATGGAGAAGTTGCAGCACAGTTATTTTAGCTTATAGCCGTGGCCCCTGGTGTTGGTTCTTGTTTCAAATTCTAGTAATCCTTCAGGGACCTTGTATAGACCATGAGTAATACTTGTATACTTCAATGAGGACCCCACGCAGACGTCGATAACTGAGGCTTGGAGGCTTCATAATCTTCAATCTTTCTTCATAGGACTTGCCCTTCTTTTGGACGCCTGTCAGAGACCACCACTGCCTTGCTTCGAATGGACTATCATGATCCCTTCCCTGAAGAACGTAGCCTACAACACTTATTGACTGCAACATTATCAGCCGCACGCCACCAGAGAGATCACATCCATTGAATTAGACCAATCAGCCCACAGGAAAATATGGCTGCCGTCGTATGGCCCAGCGTCGTCTGATGATGACGAAAAATCATTAGCTTTAAATCTTTCTACTACTTCTCCCGGTTCTACTCCAGCTAATTTACTTCTACTCAAGCTAATTTAGGTCTCTAATTGCTAGTTTTTATGATTGTATCTGAAATTGTTTGGCAAAAATAGCCTGCATGCCGAATTTCAGATCTCTAGAGCAATCAGAAGTGGGCTAATTTTCGTTGTCAATGTAAACAACAAACAAACAAACAAACGCGAAGCTAAGCTAAGAAAAACGTGTTAAAAATTAAATACAACTAAGACGAAAAGTCGAAACAATGTTGACTTACACCATATTATTTTTCAAAAATATTATTTAGGAAAGCAATTACCAAAAATCTTACGAAACTAATCAGAGTCAAATTAATAACGAGTAAGAATAAAATCGCGGAATTTAGTCTTCAAACTGAATTTTAAAATCATCAGGTAATTCATTAAAATATTTCACACAATTAAAAACTGTGCCGTTTCTTTCAATTTCTAACCGAACCGGGGGCAAGTTAAAACGCATGCCCCTGGTGTCATGGGAATGTATATAGGGGAACAAGAGAGGCGAATGCAGAATTAAAAAGACGTTCATCGTGGAATAGTGCCCTATTCATGAATTTTAAAAGCTGAAATTTGTACATATCAAGTTTTAAAATTTTCGACTGCCTATATAATACAGTAGTACGAGTCAAAGGTAGTACAGTAGTACGTTTAAACTTGTTTAAACGATAACGTTTAAACAAGTTAACAATGATAACGTTTAAAATATGCTCCAAACTCATGTCGGCTAATGCACAACGGAATCTAATTTGTAAACCAATTTTCGAGGTCACAACAATCAGAATTTTTTTCGCATACATAACCATGAGCTCAAAGTACGCACAATTACTTACTTATATTACTTCGGTATTTTACAAATTTCAATCTCAAATGCACACTGACTTAACGTACGACGCTTTCTTTAGGTTCCATTACTTGTGAAAGAAACATAATCAGGTCGTATTTGCTGGGATTCCAAATCAGCTTTGTATAAATCTAATCAACAACCACTGAGAACCATCATGACCACAGACTTCAGGGAATTATAAAGATTAATAGATAATCATGCAAGCACATGGGTATTCAAATGCACAACGACTGGAATTGACACAAGAAATAAAGAAATAATAATCGATTTGCACCATAGGAAAGACTTCAAATCTACAGTGGGGGGAAATAAATATTCGTACACTTGAAAAATCGTATTTTAATGTATGTAAGTACACAAACTTAACAGGAAAAGTGATTTAAATTATGTATAGAGACGCATAGTATTCAAAAATACTATCAAAAGAAATTAAATCTCAATGCAACAAAAAACAATGCAACNACTTCCAAGCTTCCTTTTGCAGATCAAAGCCATGACGGTGCATCTCGAACTGCTTTGCGAGCTCCTGAGGATTTCCTGAAGGTAAGAACGGAAGGTTCGGTAGAGCGCCTAGGCCCCCAAACTGGCCGGGAAACGCGGACAGTGGAGGGAACGCGGCATGAGGATGGAGACCTTGCAGCTGTGCTGGCATGGGGGGTCTCAGCGATATTGCTGGGTGAGTGCCCGAACTTCTGCCGTCGTGAGGAGAAATTTTTCTCCTAACATGCGGCGTGTGTAATTTTGGATTTGGGTTAGCTGAATGACGATTGCGAGATCTTCGAGAACTGAACATCATGTTACATCCGTCGACAGTACACTTATGCATTTCTCGAAGATGTACCGCAGAAAAGTGGATTTTTAGAGCACCTTTATCACAGAATGTTTTCATACAAACGTTGCACTGCACTCTCTTCTTGCCTGTCACAGGATTAATGAAAGTAGAGCCCATATTCATGGGATTCCATGACCGCTTAGGAGTAGGAGGACCGTTGCAGCTATTTTGGGCAGGTAATGGCAGAGACGTAGACGCTGGAGTAGAACCGGGAGAAGTAGTAGAAAGATTTAAAGCTAATGATTTTTCGTCATTAGCTTTCGTCAACCTAAGATACTGTTGGAGGTGAAGAGCTTGTTCCTCTGCAGTCACCATGTTCCAGCGATGTAACGGCTGGCCTTGTGTATCCTGAAAATACAAATTGTGTTAATATCCAAGTTAGTTTCGTATTTCCGTATTCTAATACAGATAATAAAAAACGACACTTGATCGCTGCAAAACATCTAACTACAGTATCCCCGCGATAAATATGGGAGTATTGAAATCGTGTTTTTTCAGCCGAGCCTCGATTTTTCGCGTATGAATGGGGACTGAATTAATGGGGAGACTGAATTCGTCAAAAGTTTCGGCGAAGTCAAATTATAATGCGGAAAGAAAGGTGCGCATCTCTCTGTGACGTCGGAACGCTGATCGTAATTGAGTCAATGCTTGGTTTGGTTTGAGGGCCGTGACGCTTCTTGACAAGCTCATGTGATGGATTACAAGGCGACACTGCTCACCAAGCGATCCCTGTCATGATACGACATCATCTAGCTTGCTATCTCGCGAGCTCCTAAAACAAAATTGGTGTTGTCGTGCGGTGCAACCGCAAGAAAACTCAGACATTGCAAACCCAAAGCACTGCCAGCCATGCGAACAGCCAGCTCCACTTACTGAGTTTGCATAGTTTTTTTTTGTGGGGGGAGGGGGCTTCTATCAGGCTTGATTCGAGTACTCCACAACCTCAGTTCTTGTTCTTGTAAGACTCTTGACGTGCTAAGCTCGATCATGACTAGCAAATAACTGTGATTACCTGGGCCCATTGCAACCTGTTTGCTCAATGACTAATTTCAAATGTAATATTAAATTTAAAAAATTGAAATAGAGCCAATTGATTTATAATTACCTGAAGCATGTATCCTCGAGAATAGTCTTCATAGTTCCAGCCAAAACCGTGAAGTAATTGCTGAACTTCGTCGTGCGTTAGCACTGAAAACAGTCGATCCAGGGCTATTTTGAGCCGAATTTGCAGGAGTCCAGCCCTCAAGCCGTGCGGAAAGCCGCGAGCCAAGGCTGAAGCATCCACCCCAAAGGGGAAGCCGGCTATGAGACCCGGGCCAAACTCGCCTGGCAAGCCCGCCACAAGCTGGGAGTGCACTCCGGACACGAACTCGCGCGACGCCAGTTGGCTCAGTCCTGCAAAAAAAATATATATCTCAGTACGTAAAATTTTGTAAGGAATAAATAAGTACAAGCCTTTCTCTGACGGCTTATACATATCACGACTGTAATTTTGAAGTTTATAAATCATTCGTATGAAAATAACGCTGAATTCATCTATGTCATACATCCCGTTATTTAAAGAAGACAACACTGGATTCATCTCTGTCATCATTCATTTAACGCGAGTGTCCAAAAAAAAAAAAAAAATGGAACACATTCGTTTCAGAGGACAAATGGATGCTTAACCGCAGGGAAAATAATTCATTACACGAATGTGCGCGGATGTCTGTATCGAATGCACGGTGACAAGAATATTAGTATCGAGTATGAGTGATCCTCTGCCAGGTGTAGCCAGAGCTCAAAGATATGATTTATTTTGACGGAGATTTGATATTGATGAGCACCATATGCTGCTGGAAATACGAGTAAAAGAAAACTTTGACTATTTTTCGTGTTGCACGTCTCTCCTTTATTTAAAAGTTTCAGAAATATTGCTTCTTGCAAACATGTTTACTTAAGGTTGTAAGTTCCAAATTGCAAATGGCTGTAATGAATAATAATTGATGCAACTTTTACGGTGCTTAATCGTCATAGCCGATACTGCCTATATGTATAACCGGTGATGTTGCAGGGATCACTTATGGAGTAAACATTCCGTGGAGTTTGCTTCGAACGCTAGCCTTGAGAGCGAGTTGCTTTGGTCAGCGATGCAATGAGATGAAAGCTAGACTACGCAATGCTTTTAAATCTAAATGAAACACTTGAGGATGTAACTATAGAACAACGAAATATCGATGCACCAAGGAATAGGGAAGATACTAACTAAGATTTTTTTCTTATTATAAGAGAAAAAATGAGGACTTATATGAGTCCCATCAATATTACTTACTTATTACAATAATGAATTCGACCCAAGGTATGATGATCAACAACCATTAACACATATAAAAGCAATCAATTTAATAGCAATAATTACTAGCTAATATATTCTATATTGTAATTCATCATTCTCTACCGAATTAAACAATGTACTAGGTCTGTTACTCTATATATATGTATACTTCATTTGAGAATAATGGTTGATTGTATACGTGCATTTATCATTCGCAAGCAATATATACATTCGTAAATCGATTCCAGGTATATACCCAATGAGAAAGTCCAAGCAAGACCCTCAATCATTTGATTTAAACGACGCAAACAGAATATAAATTAAGTGCGCGATGTCATTTATTATGCAAAATTTGTCTGGTTGGAATTATCGATGACACAAGTGTTCAACGCAGGTGCAAACAAGGTTGACTTTAAATCAAAATTTATTCAGTGACAAAAATCACGATGGTTAGTTGAAGGCAAATGTTCAAAAATTTTACCCGCGACGTTTCATTTTTTGGTTATACTCGCAATTCCCTCATAATAAATTCTATTTGCGGCTTTGTTGTTAAAATTCGAGCATAGATTATCGTGCTCATGTCTGTACGCCGAATACAGTTATAATTAAGGACTGTAAAAAAAAGTACTCTGGTTGGAATCTGCTTGGATATAAACTAGATATTTTTATTGGTCACGGGATTCTTCAAAAATAATGAAGTCACCAAAATATAATCTCAGGCCACAAAATTCACTTCACTTTAATTTTGTTTAAAAAATACATTAGTTAAGATTCTATCCATTGAAAAAGGAAAGGAAATTTATCAATGGCATTCTTGAACAGTTATCGTTGACAGCAGTTATTTCGAGTAACCTATACTGTCTATATCCTCTTTCTGTTACACGCGCTATACTGTTACACGCGCTACTGTTACACGGGCTACTGTTACACGCGCTATTGTTACACGGGCTACTGTTACACGCGCTACTGTTACACGGGCTACTGTTACACGGGCTACTGTTACACGCGCCACTGTTACACGGGCTACTGTTACACGCGCTACTGTTACACGGGCTACTGTTACACGGGCTACTGTTACACGGGCTACTGTTACACGGGCTACTGTCTGTCTCTTATACACATCTAGATGTGTATAAGAGACAGGGCTACTGTTGCACGCGCTACTGTTACACGCGCTACTGTTACACGCGCTACTGTTACACGGGCTACTGTTACACGGGCTACTGTTACAGGCGCTACTGTTACACGGGCTACTGTTACACGGGCTACTGTTACACGGGCTACTGTTACACGCGCTACTGTTACACGGGCTACTGTTACACGCGCTACTGTGACAAGCGAAAGTGGCGTGTCACTTCGAATTAGTGACAAGCGTAAAGCGGCGTTGGTTCGAATACATACCCTGGTCGCCGGCATCGGACTTGAAGTGGTCACTTCTTCGTTGGGTTTAGTCTCCACGCCCAGCATTACGACAGACGCAAGCCGACGCACGGTTCTCTTTAGTTTCTCACTTTGACGGCTCTACGGGAAAGCCTTAACTAACATGAATCACTTCATTATATCAGCTCTTCTTTGTTTGTATAAGTTTCAGAACTGCTCATTTTGCTGGCTAGAGCAGATATAACAATGGTTTATAACTGGATATTCACTGCAACACCGAACCGCTCACGAAGTTGCAACCGCTCACGAATCAAACTTCAGCGGAATAAAGTATGTAATACATCATACAAGATGTAATAGATGTAGAAGTGAGTTAGGAGCCGCAAGAAAACTGTCGTTAGTTCTTTTTTATCGCGGCAACGACAGAAGACTGGATTCCGAGGGACAGACCGACGACCATCCACCGTGCACAGTGTCTTGTTGTAGACTGAGCGTCAATATACAGTATACACTAGCCAGGAAAACAGCTTTGAAGGCTCCTCCTGCAGCCCCCGAGCTCCACCTACTGGGCGTGACTGGGTATCTCTCCTCCCAACTTTTGACCAGACCGCGAAAGGGTGGTATCGTCAAAACACAAGTTTCTGTATTTGCTTGATTTTTACTTGAATTTTGTTTGTAATGCATAAGGCAGCAAGATAGAGATAACATTCGAGCCTTTTCATAATATAGCACTTGCATTTTTCACTTCCGTCCTTGAACGTCTCTCTCGGCGGTAAGGCAGCTAGAAACTTCCATATAGGGAAGAGACAAAACAAAACTCAAAATAAACAAAAATATCAGAAAACCAAACAAAAGTTAAACAAGAAAAAATAATAATAACTCAAAATAAAATTAAAGGGGCAGAAAAAAGAATACCTAGGAAAAGGAAAAAAAACACACAATGTGGACCTGCAAACCTCTGAGGGAGAAAGCCAGTCGGGTTAATGAGGAAACAAATATGATGGTAATTACTTACTAAACTAAGAGTCTTCAAATCAAAAATTTACCGGTTACTTTAGAGATCGCAATCCACACACGTGCTTTCGCCGTGAACGCAACTGACTTTCTCCCCCTATTGCTTCATGTTTTGTTTTGCATGCCACCTGCTGCAGAAGCGAGGTACTGACTAAAACCCGGACCCGGACCGAGTGACTAAAACCCGGACCCGGACAGGTCCGGCGGACCAGGTTAAAAAAATAAAAAGCTGCAAATCATCTGAAACGTCGAGAAAACTTTCAATTTTACATATAAAATTTTTATATTTACTTAGAAAAATTTCATAGCACCAACATATGAGGGTCACAGAAAAGTTCATTTCTCGATCGAACTAATCGATGGAAAATGTTCTGAAACGTGCAGAAAACATAAAACTTTTGTATCTAATTTTTGAAAATTTACTTAGAAAAATTTCACTTCAGGTCCGGGGAGCCCCGGACCAAGTGACTAAAGCCCGGACCCATGTGACCAAGCGGCTAAAACTCAACCCCGACTAGTGGAGAATAGGTAATTAATCTGATTAAGTATTTTTTCGTTTAAATCTTTCGACAAAGTCAATTAATTAAGATAAGTTCGGCTGCTTCTCACTGATTATGAGCCTAATTTTTCCTCTCATTCCATGAACTTTACGCGCTTTTACAAAACATGTCCAACTTTAGGTGAAATTTTGCGAACGTGTTCACTTTATGATAGAAATTGCACTACCTTAAATATTGTTAGTTGGCAATGCTCAGCTTTCAGTACATGATGCTTTGTTTTATCTAGCATTTCGTATTCTTAAAGAAAATCAATCTTTTGATTTCAAAATAAATTTTTATTTGTCCTCTTGTAACCAACTTGCCCCTACCTCAGATCCTTCGAACAAATTAATATTGGTAATTAATATTTATTTAGCTTCATTCGTTTCAAGATAAACGATGATGATTTACGAATGATGATTTACGTAAATCATCATTCGATTTCGCTTTTTTGATGATTTACGTAAATCAAAAGCGAATGATGATTTACGTAAAAACGAAATCACATTCACGCTGTCATCATATAAATTACATCAGTATTTAATTCATGAAACTGCAATAAAAACGTGAATAAATTACACGTGTTTAACGCTAATATAAAGAACAGAGCATATTTTAAAAAGCTTTTGCTGTACCAAAGGCACTTCACGACAAGCTACGTGCGTATGTACGTGATGGAAGCGTAAACACAGGGTTCATAGGCGACGACTTGGCGCCACACCTTGCGCTATGTTGTTGTTGTTAAGCCCATACTGCCCTTACTGTTCATAATGCTGCAAATTCTGCAGTTGCTGCAAATTCTGCAATTGCTGCAAGTGCTGCAAATGCTACAAATGCTGCAAATGCTCCAAGTGCTGCAAGTGCTGCAAGTGCTGCAAGTGCTGCAAGTGCTGCAAGTGCTGCAAGTGCTGCAAATGCTGCAAGTGCTGCAAGTGCTGCAAGTGCTGCAAGTGCTGCAAGTGCTGCAAATGCTGCAAGTTCTGCAAATGCTGCAATTGCTGCAATGTGATGCAAAAGTTTAAATTTGCCGTAAACATTTTTTGTGCCATCGAACATTCTGTGCTCATTTGTGACGCTCAAGCTTCGACTTAATAAAGAAATTTCTTGATTTTATTAGTTATATGGAATGTTGTGTTAATGCCGTGCCAGTTATGATTACAGGAGGGAAAAGGATTGAAGTTTATTACAGGAATGATGAGGAATGAAGTGTATAGCTGCAGCAACTCGCTGAGTTAATTAAAAATATTCATTATATTATGCCAAGGAATGAATTTTTATGCATTAGGAAGTGGTAGAATTGCAATTTAGAATTCATTTCAAATGAACTCATTCCTTAATTAAATTCATATGAATTACTCAACATTCAAATAATGAACCGAGGTTCAAAATTTTTTTTAATGTATTTCTTTCGTTGATTCCAAGAAAAACCCAGTAGCTAGAACTAAAATGTGTTGTTTCAACACAATGGGTTCAGCTGAACCTATTTGTTTTCATGTTCAAACAATGTTGGAAAAAGTTGAAAAATTTCACTGAAAATCAAAAATTAATTACTGTTAGAAATTTCCGTATTTCTTGAATCGTCCAAGTTGACGATTCTTTTTCTTAGTCTTAGATAGGAAGGGACCTGTGAATAGTTAAGATTAGAACTTGAGGCTGTGACGACCACGGCATCGTTGCTCAATCAGGATTTCATGAATTATTAAGCCATGCCTTGCTAAAATCTTATTTTTCGTTTGAGTGATCACTCTTAGTTTTCGTTATGTTTATTTTTTGCGTTTAACTGCATGTTCGAACTTCTTTGTTTAGAAGGCTAGACTCCGAACGCGCTTGGGCTTTGCCTTCAACTTAAATTAGTCTATTGGACTGCGGCTTTTGAATTTCGTATCACGATTAAACTATTAAATATTCCTTAACTGAGAGGAAGGGCGAAGTTCTTCCTTAATCTTTACTGTAATTGCGTTTGCGTCGGAGTCTGCCTTTCTCCTACTACTAATGAATTTCCCTTTATATGGCCACTTAAAATGCCTCTTAAAATTTCAGCTTGAAGCCAAAGATTTTAAGGTGGGTTTAGGGATTGATATAAATGTAATATTGAGAAATGATTGAGCTCTAATTATAAAATTTCATATTTACTGAATTTAAAGCGGTAGCATTCTATTTTTTAGAATAACTGCAACTCCCGAGGGGCCGGTCCGACTTCTGCTACACTGGGGAATCTCATCTATATTTATTCATTTATCTGTTTATTAAGGAGTGTTTGATTCTATTTGAAGCATTCTTATTTTACCTTTGCGCCATTGATTAAACCTTTATTCGAATATTAATCACTGTTACATAGCTTGCGTTCTACTGTTTCGTTCATTTCTTTCACAGTTATGTTGGGCTTCGTTTTCGTCCGTTGGGACAGATGTTTCTAAAGCTCAAGCTGTTGTTTCCTATGAGAATGTCGTCTGTGACCGGCGCCAAACTGCTTCGAGCGGCGACGTTTTCGAAATAAAATCGTTCGTGTGAATTGCCTTTGTATTAAGCTAAGCCTAACATTACTATACGTCAATATTATTTGCATAGAATTTAACCTGCGTCTGTAATAGACTGTACAGGCATCAAGAACCATTAAAAAATTTTCGTTGATATACAGGGTCATAAATTCATAATTTTTTTCGCTTTTCTGATTTTAGGTATACTTTGACCTTAATTCTACTCAAAAATTTTTCACAAAACACAAGATTTTTTTAGATTTTGAGCTGATATTTTTGCCAAGCGTATTAGATTTATAAGCTAATTTTTTGGTTGAATTCCATCAAAATTCGTGATTGTCAAGCGGATCTGATTTTCAAAATTTTTACGTTAAACATAAAAAAATTACATATTTTCGAAATTATTTTTGTATATTTCATTGAAGAAATTCAGCCGCCTCTGATAAGCCTATCATTTATTAAATCTGTCTTTATTAACCATTCTTATCCTTTTAATTTATATTATAAGTAATTTAATTATCAACAACTTTATTGTTATTCATTATCATACACTGCTCGATTATTATAATGAATGCCATTTTGTTCACCTTTGTTTGCTTGTTGAACTATTAAATTAATTTGTACATTATAATCAATTTATATAATCAAACAATATAATCAATCAATACACTATTTCCCTTCGATTATATATTTTAGAAATTTTCCTTATTATATAAGATAGAACAACTGAATTAATAATAATAATAGTAATATTATTTTTATTACTATTATTATTAAAATTTATGTTAAAATCATTAATAATGGCAATAACGATAATTTTAATAAAACTTGTATTTAATAAATAAAAATTGAGGCTTTTTTACCACAATTTTCATAAGGAACCTTTTAATAGTGCCACTCACTCCTCCCTTTCACTTTCCCACTCACTCCGCCCTTTCACTTTCCCACTCACTCCTTCCTCTCACTTTCCCACTCACTCCTCCCTTTCACTTTCTCACTCACTCCTCCCTTTCACTTTCTCACTCACTCCTCTCTTTCACTTTCCCACTCACTCCTCCCTCTCACTTTCCCACTCACTCCTCCCTGTCACACTCACTCCCCCTTTCAACTCCCCGCTCACTCTCCCTTTTCACTTCCCCACTCACTCCTCCTTTCACTTTCCCACTCACTCCTCCCTTTCACTTTCACGTAAGTTGAATTTCATATTTTTTATAGTATTTAAATTTTTTTTATTTGTAATATTGGCCGGATTTCAAATAAATTTTGCCGAAATTACCGATACAAAATTTATCGAAATTATAGACACTCATAGGAAAAGAAGTTAAATTGTCCCTCGATCGCGCGGCAAAACTCAAATTTAAATTCAATTTTTAGTAAAATTAGCTTGAAATAATTTTAAATTTATAAATTTTATAAAGAATATGGTAAACTTTTGCTATAAATCAGAATAACTGATATATTAAA